GAGCTGCCGTCGAGCGGGGGCGATCGGTCGACGAGATTTGCATATAATCCGTAATCGCGCAACGACGCGCCGCGACGCGACCTCTCCTACCGACGACAAAAATGCGGCCAAACCTACGTCGATCGTCGAGCCGGGAAAGTCGAGCAAAATTTTCCGCGATCGACCTCCGCCTCTTCGCTCGCTACATCGCCCTATTTCTTTTACTCGTTTATCTCCGATTCGGGAACAAACACCTCGAAATCGTGGCTCGCTCTTAACGAAAACTATAACTAACGAGTCTGATGTCGAGCCCCTTAACGCGTAAACACGATACGACCTAACCGGCTAAACGATACATTTCGGGGCCGAGAACTCGAGGCGTATCAACCTTCTTGAATGAACGCGTAAAAACGACTAAACGGCAAGGAGGAGCCCCTTGCCCGACTGGCAACTTGTCAGCTCCCAACAACGCGCGTTACCGATCCAGCAGTTTCGCGCGACGATACGCATCCGACGATAAGTACGAGGTCACGCGAGTGTTAAAATGCCGTAACACGAATAATACAAATATACGAATCTATGTAATTCGCGGAAAAATATCGTGGAAGAGTTTATGAATCGCTACAAGGAACATGCGGAAACTTGCAAAAACAACGCTTCGATGAGCAGAAATATAGATATACCGACGTAAAAAATACTTTTTATCATAGAATTATCAGTGGGTATCCTATTATGAATGACCTTACAACGAACGAATTCTATAATGAACAGAGTTTCTTATCGGAATAAAATGCTCGCAACGAATAAATATTTTACGATCGACACCGAGGGGTGAACTCGCAACGGAGCGCGTATGGTACACGTACGCGAACGTATTCTTCGACGAACGTCTACGACGAATACGTTCGTCCTTGCTGATTTCTCTTTTCTCGTAAGCAACGAATAAATACAAGCGGAACGTTACTCCGATTAATCGTACGGCATACATCGATAAACAGCGGAGAAAACGGCGAGTGTTGTTGTTGTTCGAGTGGCAAGCGTAAGCGAAGAAACTCGATTAAAAAACACGGATACGAGAATAAAGCTTGGGGTGTGACCCCAAGCAACGATACTCGCGCAAAATACGCCATCCGAGAAATTGAACGTTATCGAAGATCGGCCGCCGAGCTTCTTTCTCGATTCGAGGCTCGCCTCGATGACGCCGCGGTCTCGCGACATTCTTGGCGCGCGCGACTCGGAATCGCGGGAAAAATTGTTTCGATTCACCGCGTTACGTAAACGCGGTTTACCTCGGCCGAGGTTCGAACGAAAAAGCGGGAAACGCGGACGCGTTCAAACGTCGCGGCGCGCGGTCGAGAGTGCTCGTCCAGCCGATTTCTCCTGCGCGCGATCGAGTATTCCGAGAAAAGAAACGCTGTCGATGCTGAACGAAACGCGACTCGATGGGGCGAGCGCGAGTCGTCGGAGAGAGACGAAGAACGAGAGGAAAGAGACGCGAACGAAGCGGAGACCGAGCAAGAGTAACGGAGAAAGAGGGGAAGAGGATCGGAATGAGGATGAAGGAAAAAAAGAAAGAGAGAAGACTGCGACCTCGCGTGCACGAACGAGAGTTTACCGGAGTAAGCCCGCGATCCGCTCTGTTGCGCAGCTTTCGAGGAATACGCGATCCCGCGCGAAAAATCATCGATTATCGGACGACTAGGTGTTTAGGGGAAGTTTATCGAGGACTCGTAAACGCTTTCGATAGAAAACTTTGCTCGACGTCGAAGACGATCACGCCCTTAATAACTTCGAAGATTACGCGACGTTGTAAAAGTATAAATTTATAATAAATGTACGATTTTATCCGAGATAAATAGAAAGCGAATGCAACTTTTTAGTCGACTGTTAGTCGATACGTAAGAATGAAAAGCAAATTTGAAACGTCCCGAGTCGCGTCACTGCAGCAGACATCGACAGCGATATATGTAATATGTTTGCGCGCTTCGGTCGCTGTGCTCGTTTATCGCGGATAAAACGCGAACGTACCGTAACGCAACGAGACCGCTCCATCGTCCGGAGGGAAACCGCGATCGCGGAGAAGATCGAGAATCCTGGTACAAAGGCGAGCTCGAAGGCGAACGCGATCGACGATCCGGCGGGTTACGGAGAGGTTGGCTCGCGATAAGTAAGTGGAAGTAAGTGGCACGAGCTGTCGCGTGCAAGCACGCTGCTACTAAGACGACGACGACGACGACGACGATGACGACGACGGGACAGGTGCGTGAAACGAGAAGGGCTCGCGTACGCGTTCGAGTCGAGGCGTACGGAGAATAAGTAGTGAACGGTAAAGAGAAGAGAAAAGAAAAGGAGCGGCGAAGAGAAAGGAGGGAAAAAGAGAGATGCCGGCTAGTCTCGAGCGATCGGCGGGACAAAACAGGCCGCTGGCTATACTGGCGACATCTGGTCAAGCGTACTCGGCTGTCAGACGACCGCGCGCCGTCTTCGATCCGTCGCGCGATCGATCGCGCTCCTCCTTTTCTCGTCGATCGACGGAGATTGATTATTCGTTCGGAGCTCGTCCTTCGAGCGCGATCGATAGCGCGTATTTCGTATTTATCGAAGGGCGAAAAGAGATCGGTCGCGATTCGACTTACCGGAGTCGACGAGTTCGTCGACGGGTCGCCACGCACTCGCACCCGCGATTCTCCGCGCCGACGCGTCGACGAGGCCACTTTCTCTTGCTCGCGATACGCCGGCGCTCCGTTCATTTGACGAGCGGGAAACTCCGAGACGTGTCCGAAACGCGTCCCCCGTTTCTTCCTCGATTCTCCTTATCCTTCTTTGGTTCGTCCAGTATTCGCGTTCGCGCTGCGCGCCTGTTGTTGCTGGTCCTGGCCGCGAGGCTGCTTTCGAAAACGTGGCCGCGATACGCGACGCGAGAGTAGATCGCGATCGAAATACAGCGTTCGAGTAGCAGCGATACGCTGCGTTCGCGGCGCAAGTCCGACCACCGACTGCCGACTATTCCGCGTCGATCCGAGTGAAAACTTTTTCGAAGGCTCGGATGGAGCCTAGAGGATATTTAACATCGAACGACGTCGACCGATTAATTCGAATTTACGATTCGTGCATCGAAAACTGTACCGATCGTTGCTCGACGCGTCGAATTTTCTACAGCATTCTCGGAACTCTCGTTTCTTTTCGTTTCGCTGTTCGACGGTGGATTAAAAGCGGATTAAAAAACATCGATAGACGGATAAATAACGCGTGCGACCATTTACGTACGACCCTGGCACAGAAATAAATCTCGCGCGCGTACCGCGGGTCAGTCCTGCGGATAATTCCGCGCAAAATTAACGCGCGTTCCATTCGACGACCCTGATCGATCAATCTGCTTCTTTCGACACCTGTACCAACGAAAAACAGAGGAAAGAAAAGAAACAAAATTTGGAACGGTTCGTCGGCTGAAATTAAACGTTTCGCGTCGACGTTTCCTTCGTTACGGAAAGATGAAAATATGGGTCAAGCTCCGAATTAGGCGTTGATTAGAAAAATTTCAACGAAGATTCAACGAAGAAGAAATTGTACATGTAGTCCTCGAGACTAGGACCACGTTTCAGCGATCGTTTTACAATGTATCGAGCACCTCGATGAATCGTAAAGAGGAAGTTGACTCGAATTTCGCAATTTGTCGCGTAGAAGGTCCAAGTGGGAGGCAAAGGAATTGGCCGTGTAATGAAACGGTTAAAGGGCCGAGAGACTTTGCGTGGCGCTCCAACGATAAAAGAGAGAACGAGCAGAGGTTGCCCTTTCGCGCGTTTACTCGCTTCAAGACCGAAATAAACGTTGCCTTTGGCCCTCTTGCTTCTTTCGACGAGCTTTCGGTGACGTTGCGTGGCTAGCAGCAACAGCACCGAAGACGAAGAAGAAGAAGAAGGAGGAGGAGGAGGAGGAGGAGGAGAAACTGCGCGCGAGGTTTCGAACGAGAGAGGGAGAAGGTTCGAACTCGATCCCGCTCTCTCTCTCGAGCGAGCGTCGTTTCGTTCGTCGTTCGAAAACTATCGTCCGCTTCGCGAAACCCGACGATCGCACCTGCGACGCTACTTCGTCGAAAATCGTGCGCGCGAAACCGAGAATCGGAAACGAGAAGAGAACGGAGTCGAGTCGGATAACGAGGATCGTGCGACCGCGAACAAAAAATTGAACCGCCGATGCTCGTAAGAGAAGACTGCATCGCCGCCTGGTCTATCGCGCCTCGGTTCTCTTCGATCGGGATGTTGGAAAATACCGATTCGGCAGAATCTTTCCGACCGAGAGACTCGATCGCGATCGCCGGAGGACTTTGACTCTCGTCGATTCTCTCGACCCTTGCTTCCTCGGCGTTTTCCGTCAACGCGGAATCCTCCAAATCTAACCGTTCGTCGCTTCGTCGACGGTGTTCCAGTTCGATAATCGTATCGGCTATTCAATAATACCGCGTTTTTACCGGATATCCAGGCCGTCGGAATAGCGAGGATTCCGCGCAAACAACGCTCGACAATTTTACCATTCGATTCGTTCGAAACGCTAGGTACGCTAGGTTTACGGTTTCAAAGATTGTTCCAAGTAGCCGACGAGGCTTACGAAAAGAGACGGAGAAAGGGAAAAACAGAGAAAGCGACGACTACTCGGTTGTCTATTGTACGTATCGAAGATGCTTATCGATGGTACTTGGCCTTTTCTCGTTCTCGCTCTCTTTCCATCTCTCTCTCTTTCTCGCTCTCGTCCCCTGGAGCTTCGTTCTGCTCCCAACATTCTACGCGTACTCCGTCTCTCTCTTTCTCGGTTACTCTTCGAACGGCTGGTCGTTCTTCTCGAGCCGTTCGAGCCTCGGCGGAGCGGAGCATACCGCTCGGACGTTCGTAACGAGTACCTACCTCGTTAACTTCGTTCGTGGAAGCGCGCACAATGAGCGCGTACGGCAAGAAAACAAGAAGCCGATGCACCGGTACAGAAGCAGAAGCTACTGGCTCGATCGCNNNATCGCGATCCGCCGATACCGCTTTGATGCCCGCTTCTTAATAAGCGTGCTTTTTGCCGTTGCTCTTGTTCGTTTCGTCGCCCCGTTCCTGGTTAAATAGGCGGCACGAGTCTGTTGCGTGCACGCCTGGAGCGCGTTTCAGATAACCGCGCGATACGTCCGACGAGAATCCTCGATCGTAGGAACTTCGAGCAACGATAAAGCGGCGTAATAGATGGCATTTGCTTTGCAACTTTCACGAGAGGAGCGCGCAAGGTCACGCTCGAATCCCACCTACGCCCTGCGATTGTTCCATTAACGCTCGATGGGAACGCGATTCGACCTTGTTTTTCTTTCTTTTTACTTTCCTCCGCTCGATCTCCCCTTTCGGTCCGTTTCCACGACGCAGCAGCGCACGCTCTCGACGGACCGAGAGGTTCTCGAGGGTAACGACGCGATACCCGGCACGCGTGCTCGTTACGCGAACGGAGCGGGCGAAGCGGGCGAAGCGGACGAAGAAAAGTACCGTTCGTTCACGATTCTAGTTATTTTTCCGCGTAACGAACCGTATTGAAACCTGCTAGAATCCTTATGCCGCTTCGTTAATACGCATTGTTCTCGTACGCTCGGAAACGTCTGTGCCACGGTACACGGGTGAAACTCGTCGACGAGAACGCGTCGCGACGTATTTCGACCTGATTCTTCGACTCGTTTCGATTCGATCCCGGTAGGCTAGGCTCGGTTCCGCTCGGATTCGACGAGACAGGATCGAATCGGAATCGTATCCGATATCGGTGTTCGATACGAACGCGCGCGTAAACGCGGACAGTGCACGATGCAGTATGGCTAGCTCGCGGCAAGGTCGTATTAGAATTTCGCGCGCGCGCCGAATGTTTCTCTCTCGCGATCGACGCGAGAACGACGACTATATATAATATATATTTATATATAGTTACTTTCTTCTCCCCTTTTTTTGCGCGTACGAGAAGCAAACGAAAAGACGGTTCTTGTCCCGCGTAGTAAGCGCGATCGCGTACAAGGGAAATTTGTTTGAATTAGCAAAATAAACCGAGAGGAAACGTTGAACAGACACTCACGTGGGACGTTGTTTCGTCGAAAGAGCCGGTCCAACCGTGCGACGCGGTTCGCTCTTCTTTTCGAGAAGAGAAAAAGTTTGTTCTCGGACCGACCGGACGACACGAACGGCAAGGATGTCGCGAAACTCCTTGGCTCGTTACCGTTCTATATTGGACTTATCGAATCGCGGAAACGAAAAAGAGGGAGAGCGAAACGGTGAGGAAATTTATTTTCTCTTCCGGTTCTACGATGTAACGTTGCCCGATAAACGATAGCTCTATTTCTGGCGAATCGAGCACGCGCCACGCTGCTTCGAACCTCCAGGAATTCTTTCTTCTCGTTTAGATCCAGACTCGAATTCGAACGAGTTGTAAATTTTTCGAGAGACGCGGAAGCGAGTCATTAGGCTCCGCTCGGTCGCTATCTCTTTGCTCGCGTAGCGTTTAACGATTTTCTTCGAAATCCTCGAAAGTCTCGCGTCGGCCCCGCTTACGGATGATTTATGGATCCATTAGGAGGATCGTTGCATTCGGCCGACGCGTAGAAACGCTGTTCGCCGCGATCGCCGCGCGAGCACGAAGATGGAAGAGCATCGGTGAATCCGGTCGGTTCGAAGAAAACGTTGGACAGGTAGGCGGAAGGTCGAGAACGGCGTGGATGGTTCCCAGGGTTCGACGGTCGACTCGGTCCGGGCTGGCCCGGCACGGGATCGTTCACGGATATCGGCCTACGAAAGAGAGGCGAAAGAGAGGCGAAAGAGAGGCAATAGGTATTTAGGGTAGGAGTCGAGAAGAGAGGTAATTGGTCGGAACGAGAGAATTCTAACCGCGTTCAGCTTCCATCGCCGTCCCTCCGAGCTCTTTCGGTTCTCGTTTCGTTCGGCCGCCTCGTTATCCCAGATTACCGGTCTCTCGCGGCGACTCGACGGCCCGTTCGAAACTGCTCCATCGGTGGTCCTCGCCGATTC